GAGGAAACTAGATCTTTCCTCCAAAAATATCCCAAGTGGAATGAATATTTTCTAATAATGCACGACCAATTTTAAGATTAATAGGTAGCAGGCTAAATTCTAAATAATTTAGGACAGCCAAAACAATTTTGGGCGAATCTTCCCTCCATCTTGCAACAATACAGGTCAGTCTTGCTCTTGAGATGCATTGGGATTTGGCTTCCATATTTCGTAGCTGGGAATTATGGGAGTTGAAGTCCAAGGCAATTGGAGAGTATTAGGCTGAGAAGTTTAACAAAGGGCTGGAGGACTTTTGTTTTCAGTCCACTTTGGTTTCCCTATCAAGTAGCAAATTCCACCATACCAAACGCTAGAAGGGCATTTCCTCCGTATGTATAACTGAAAAACACCAGAGCTATTTAATTCTATTTAATTCTAATTTTGAGGGTAAGCAGATATTATTTCTAGGGAATTGGTTTCTTAAGATTCCTCAGCCTTCTCAATGACTGGAAAACCATGACAAATCATATTTATGACTGGAATAAAATCAACATTTCATTTTATAGCTTCATAACGTAATCTTGCGTCCCACAAAGCAACATATCAGTGCGATGAAGCGTGCCAATTTTTGATTGTAATCGGTTGTAAACCAAAAAAAAAAAGAGACACTTGCAAAGTGGTTGTTCTGGGTGAATGATTCTCCAATTATGCATAACTTTTCAACAATATTTAATTTTTCCACTTTAATTGCACAGAAGTTGACACAAGTGGGGAATATTATATCTAGTCATCTTGTCTGCTATTGATTGTTACTTTGCTAATGTGCCAAGCATTAAATATGAAAGAGCAGTATAAAAAAAAAATCACTACTTTTTTTTTTTTGAAACCATAAACCTAATCCAGAGAGTGCAATAACTTATAGACACATGTTCCAGTTTTTGTACAAAATATTTGGTAGGAGAAGATGGAAAATGAAAAGAAAATAAATATATAGCATACTTTAGGGCTGTGGGCAATCTTAGCCTGCCAAAAATCCAAATTCTTTATCAAAGAAACACAAATTCTCTGACCAGAATGAATTGTTCAAATTAAACCTTATCATTGCATATGGTTATTTAATTTGAATAGTTTTTTCCCTCCTGCTTCTAAGATTGAAGTTTTGCAAATGTTTTAGCATTAGTTCCCCCCTGATAAAGTGCAAGGATGTCAACATGTATAATGTTGAAGAACTGTACAGATACACATGTATAAAATATTGTTTCGTTAACTGAGAATTAGCTTCTGGTTCAAACTCTCACTGTGTATCTAAAAAGAACAGTAATGAAAAAAAAAAATAGTCATTATAATGATGCCAATAATAATTTCATTTATATAATCCTTTCTAATCAAAAGAATAAGCACAATCAAAATTCAACATTACTGTAGAAATGGCTTGCATAATTTTGAAGGCAGGCAAGATCACTGTTGACACAAGTAGTCCTCGAGTTACACCCACAATTGAGCCCACAATTTATGTGGCTAAGTGAAACATCTGTTTAAGTGGGTTT